TGATACTATATACGCGCTTCTGCCATATTTCTAACATGCTGATATTAATTTACTCGCTATTTTATGAATGTATAAACCCATAAATTCGTTCAAGGAATGTATAAACACCATAAACACGACGGTCTGGGAATGAATAAAGACAAATTCGCAACAATTCAGGAAGAGAGTTCGGTAAATGGGCCGACACGTTAAAGATGATTCCAAATAAGTGGTCCAGAAATTTACACCTTGGTCATTTGGACCTCCTTGCAGTACCCATTCTTAAAGTTGGGATCTGAACCCTTAGGGCCACGCCCCTCCATAAATCCTCCAGGTGTTTCTTAATCCCCTCCAAGGGCCGCCCCTCCGCACATATTTCTCCAGATGCAGCTGACAAACCTAATACTATTGAGCTTCCGTGCACATTTTGCTCTTGTATTTGAGGGGGTAAAATTCAAAGAGATGTAATTCAAAGCGCTGTGGCTGTTTGGATTCTGTACGAGTTTGCTTACTCTGATTAGAGAGGCTTTTTTGCTGCAGGTTTGGTAACTCTGAGGCAGGCTTGGATGTGTGTTGGAGGTTTGGTCATCTTAATGTTAGTTTGGGTTTCTTAGAAGGCTGCTAACTCTGATGTTATCTTGATTTTTTTAATTAACTTTGGATTACCTTCTCACGCTTTATTAATTCCCTCTTTCTAATCCATCGGTCATTATTTGTATTTATTATTAAGTTAATGTGATGTTAATAATTGCTTCAACAGGTAGTGGCCCTCTAATCCTTGCTTATCTTTACTTGCTTGATTTATTTTATTACTGCAAATATTTTACTTAACATTTAACTATTATTGCTTTATGTACAAGCTTTATGTACTATGCAAATGAACACCGGCTTAGAGGATGGCAGTTTCTTGCTCTTCTGACTTATATTCTTGTCGTTAATCACATATATGTTAGTACTATACTTCAGCAAGTAATCTGAAGTATAGTTCAGATTACTTGCTGAACTAACTACTGAACAGTTAACTTGCTGAACAGATTACTTGCTGAACTAACTACTGAACAGTTAGTTGAACAGATTACATAGTTAGATTACATAGTTGAACAGACTACATAGTTAGTTGAACAGATTACTTGCTGAACCCTGTTAGTTCTGAACTTACAGTTCAGAACTAACAGGTTCCTGGTCCTCTTCAGCACCGCGACGCTGCCAAGCGAGTCTCTACATCCTGAAACATAAGGTTGGCTTTAAGGTAACAAATTCCTAACAATGACATGACAAGAATTATGCTATGCTGTGTGTGTGTGTGTGTGTGTGTGTGTGTGTGTGTGTGTGTGTGTGTGTGTGTGTGTGTGTGTGTGTGTGTGTGTGTGTGTTGTGTTGTGTGTGAGTGTGTTTGTGTGTGGTGTGTGTGTGTGTGTATGGTGTCCGTGGGTGTATACGTGCGTACGTGCATGTGTGTGTACGTGTACGTGTGTGCGTGCGTGCGTAAGAGTACGCTCGTGTGTATGCGTGTGTGTGTGTGTGACAGGACGCCCATAACGAGGTGTCAGCCCTCTCCCTGTTCCCACGCCAGTTAATTTGTACCTGTCTGACAGCTTGTATTTACTGCCTCAGGGTAGCTAGTGGGGATAGGTAGTGGGGGGTGGGGTAGAAGGGGAGGTAATGGGTAAGGGGGAAGGGAAGGAGGTGGAGGAAGACGCTGGTGCGGCACCTTAGGTACAGCATCTTCGCTACTCTCTAAGATACATATGCATACACAGCTGCAGCAGCCGTCATGATGTATACGACAGATGTATGTGTTGCTGGTGTACCTTAGGGTGGGTACAAAGTGGTGGAGGACAGGCCATGTTGTGTACAAATGAATACTAAATACCACCACGACGTTTCGTTCAATTCTGGGCGAAACTATTGGGAACACAGCGAGAGGGATGGAGATGAGATCAGCAGCATGTGCCAGTTCCATGTAGGATGTATTGCTTCAAAACTCTAAGGTATTGCTTCAAAACTCTAAGGTATTGCTTCAAAACTCTAAGGTATTGCTTCAAAACTCTAAGGTATTGCTTCACAACTCTAAGGTATTGCTTTAAAACTCTAAGGTATTGCTTCAAAACTCTAAGGTATTGCTTCAAAACTCTAAGGTATTGCTTCAAAACTCTAAGGTATTGCTTCAAAACTCTAAGGTATTGCTTCAAAACTCTAAGGTATTGCTTCAAAACGCTAAGGTATTGCTTTAAAGCTCTAAGGTATTGCTTCAAAACTCTAAGGTATTGCTTCAAAACTCTAAGGTATTGCTTCAAAACTCTAAGGTATTGCTTCAAAACTCTAAGGTATTGCTTCAAAACTCTAAGGTATTGCTTCAAAACTCTAAGGTATTGCTTCACAACTCTAAGGTATTGCTTCACAACTCTAAGGTATTGCTTCACAACTCTAAGGTATTGCTTCAAAACTCTAAGATATTGCTTCAAAACTCTAAGGTATTGCCCCAATGCTCTAAGGTATTGCTTCAAAACTCTAAGGTATTGCCCCAAAGCTCTAAGGTATTGCTTCAAAACTCTAAGGTATTGCTTCAAAACTCTAAGGTATTGCTTCACAACTCTAAGGTATTGCTTCAAAACTCTAAGGTATTGCTTCAAAACTCTAAGATATTGCTTCAAAACTCTAAGGTATTGCCCCAAAGCTCTAAGGTATTGCTTCAAAATTCTAAGATATTACTTCAAAACTCTAAGGTATTGCTTCAAAACTCTAAGATATTGCTTCAAAACTCTAAGGTATTACTTCAAAACTCTAAGATATTGCTTCAAAACTCTAAGGTATTACTTCAAAACTCTAAGGTATTGCTTCACAACTCTAAGGTATTGCTTCACAACTCTAAGGTATTGCTTCAAAACTCTAAGGTATTACTTCAAAACTCTAAGATATTGCTTCAAAACTCTAAGGTATTGCTTCAAAGCTCAAAAGAAGTGCTTCAAAATTGTAAAGTATCTTTACAATCAAGTTAGGCTAAACTGGCCGTGAGGAACTTGGACAATGGAGCTCTCTGAACATTATATTTATCCCCATGTGAGACGCGCTCTTACGTATAACTTCTGTATAACGAAACAAACAAAAAGAAGAAAGTGTTTACAGTTTGCATAAAGGATCTTTCTTGAGGTAAACTTTTACCTTTCTTGAGGTAAGTTGACAGATATGAAGACTGAAGTACCTGAACCTCATCATGCTGGAAGAGCGGATAAATAGGGTAGTAGACATGATAACGATATACGAGATTGTAAGAGGAATTGGCCAAATGTGCCGTGAAGCAATGTTTACGGCACACTTGGCCACACTTGCAAATGTTTCGTGAATTATTAGGATATCCTAAAGAACACGAGAGCAAATAAAGTAATTGTAAAGCACCAGGTACCTCATACAGGTAGATCTGATGCGTCTAATGGCTGGAGATTCAATAATGCAGTAAGATCATGATCCAGTTCCTTCTCACAGGGTTTACACATGGATCTCTCAAATTTGGTAGATTCTTCACCTGTCGTCGTCTGCCACAGTTTAGAGCCAGGTCTAGGCAACATCTATACCACACTGTCTAGTGGACGTTTCGTGGTTCCAATATATATAGATCTCAGATCTAAATCAATTTTCGCTTTTATACTATTTCTAAAACCCTTATTCTGTCCAATAAACAGGTTACTTGCACTTGCTATCATGTGGATCTGACTGTTCGATATTGCAGGACACGTTTTCTTGCGCTTAAAGACCAGACACTGAATCACAGAAAATTACATTCTCAAGTCATCGACTTGAGAATGGTCCAGGACGGACCGAAACGTCGTCGTCCCTTCACCTTCTAGTGTGTGGTCTGGTCAACAGAAAATTACTCGTCACGTGTTATTGAGTGAAGTGGTAACTGGTTGCAGTACAGCTGGTTATGTATAAAATTTAGCAAGGTTGTAACAGAGACTTATTGTCTGTGTGGAAGTGTTACACCGATGAATCTTACAGACTCGTGCTGGGCGTCAAGATGACGATTTGACTGAGCCATCGTTGTAGACACAGTCCTCGTCAGATCGTAGGCTTATGACACAAGAGTCAATTGTTTCAAGCGTGAGAACTTTTAGTTGAGCAAGATTCTCATTACCTATCTTAATGATGCATATGTGTGATACTTGGGTAGTCGGGTATGTTACTAATAATTCACAACAATAAAAGTAAACTCTACGGTAAATTGCAACCACATTTCACTTACTCGGAGCGCTTCAATTTGGAGAGGGTAGATGCGAGTGGTATTTTGCTGTTTAAAATTAAACCTTTCAAATACAGAATATTAGCTTGTATTCTGTGCATAATCTAAGTGTGTCATCTGAAACATCTTTGATTTAAAAAGAGAAAAAGTCACAATAAAGTCTTAGAAAATTAACATCCAAACAACACAACTGACAAATAGCAATGTTTTAATGAATGACAGGATAATAATAATTAATAAATAATAATAAATATGACAGAGAAACTATTTCATTTGAGGCACAGTTACGGTAATGAATAAAACTATATAGAAAACCCTGCTCTTTTTAGACAGGCGTCCCGATCTACACAGGTACTCATTAATTGCTAAATAACGCAAGAGAAAAAATAGTTTATGATAATAATAAAAATAAAAATAATAATAATAATAATAATAATAAAATAATAATAATAATAAAAATAATAATAATAAAAATAATAAAAATAATAATATTAATAATAATAATAAAAATACTACTATTACTACTACTAATAATAATAATAATAATTATAATAAAAATAATTAACAGATAAAAAATTCCTTTCCGGAATACGGAAGAGTGAAGAAGATAAGACGTTGTTCAGAGAGGGAGAGACGCCAGGGGGTCAGCTTGCAAGGGTCTGCCAGGGATGGCTAAGGTTGTGAGAGGTCACGGATTTACTTATAAAGTCAAGATGTTTTGTTATTTATTATCGTCAATCTTGTTTTGATATATAGAAACATCTGCAACTTGCATTTCCCCTATATGTCTGAACGGTGGATAGAGAGTCGTCTCTTTTCTCGACGGAACACAGTGATATCTCTTTCCTCGCCTCCCCTCTCGACGGTGAAGAGAGACATCATCTTCCCCCCACCGACGGTGAAGAGAGCCATCATCTACCCATCACCGACGGTGAAGAGAGCCATCATCTACCCCCCACCGACGGTGAAGAGAGCCATCATCTTCCCCCCACCGACGGTGAAGAGAGCCATCATCTACCCCCCACCGACGGTGAAGAGAGCCATCATCTACCCCCCACCGACGGTGAAGAGAGCCATCATCTACCCCCCACCGACGGTGAAGAGAGCCATCATCTACCCCCCCACCGACGGTGAAGAGAGCCATCATCTACCCCCCACCGACGGTGAAGAGAGCCATCATCTACCCCCACCAACAGTGAAGAGAGCCATCACCTACTTCCCAGACGGTGAAGAGCCAGCCACAGCCCGCAGCCTGCTGCTCACTAGAGTGCTTCCACAGCCTCAACAACAGTTTAATTACGCCTGCAACCAAGGCTTTCACATCCAAGTTTGTTTAATGATTAAGTTATTAGGGGGCTGAGAGCAGCTTTCAACCCCCTTCCCACCCCCCCCAAGGCCCAGCTCACGTAATTACTCAAACACATACACGAATTACATATTGCGGAACAGGCCAACGAAATGAATGTACTCGGATCGAGGAGTATATCCGAGTATCCGTAGTGAATACCACGGGTATATATGTACGAGTATCCATTGTGTATACTCAGGTTTATTCCGCAGGACAAGCCACGCCCACCCACGCTAACGCCTAGTCCACCACCCATCTCATGTCAACTCTCTACCAAGCCCACCAACCCCCACCTCACCCACAATAAGCGTGCCTCCCACGTTATACAAATCCTAATTATGTGTTGATTTTTCGAGCGGCGCTGTGGAACACGGGCTTTGGGGTCAAGCTGGTGGGGAAAACCCCCCACCACAGAGGGGGAAAAAAGAAAAAAAAAAATTCCTGGCGAGAAGTCGAGATTCCCGTCGGTAGATGTCTCTGGACTCCCGCCAAATTAAATGGAAGAGCGAGCATAACATAAATCTGAGGATGGGAGAATAGCCATCCTCCCAGACGACCCGCTACCTGGGGCAGAGAGTAAAAAAAAAAAAAACTCATTTATCATGGGAGAAGGAGTGGGGGACGGGGATCGCCTTAGCGTGAATTTGCTGTTAGCGTGAGCGTGTAGTGATGGAGGGGCGGCGCTCCATGTCTGGGGGCGGTACACGCTGACTGCGCCATTGTGGCGGGGGGGGGGGGGACACGCTAAGAGTTTCTATTGAGAGTCTCCGTGCCTCACGATCCTTACTGTGGTCGCCCGGAGATGAGAAACACAACGAGAAAGAAAGCGAGTAAAGATAATTGAATGTGTTTGCATGAATGTGTTGGGGGGCTTAATGGGTCCTGCTGGTGGGTTAGGGACTGAGGATTACAAAGTCCCCTTTTTAGAAGAGCCCAGAGGGAAGAAATAGTGCCCATGAGGGCGGCCCAGAGGTAGCCCCCTACGTAGAGCCCAGAGGTCAGAGGGCGAGCCCAGAGAATCAGAGATAGAGCTGACAGGGCTGAATTTCAGCCCAGAGAACAGAGGTAGAACCCAAAAGACAGCGCTAGAGCCAAGAGGGCAGAGTTGAAGTCTCAGAGTCATAGATAAGGATGGTCAGCCCTTTGTTGTATCAACCCTCAGGCAATATAAGGCAAATAATGGTGGTAGGTGGAGAGTATCAGTGGGCTTATAAGAAGTATTAGGTGGTAAAGAGGCACATTAGAGTTTATTAATTTTTAAAGAACTTTAAGGTATACCGTATTGACAGGATCTTTGAGCTCAGGGGGTACAGTGTACTCCCAGTGTGTGTGTATGTATGGTAGGCGAAACTCCTCAGTGTTTAGATATACTGAGAAACACTGCTCGGGGTGTATGTGTCTTTTCGTAAAAGATGAGTATACTGGGTATGTGGCGAGTATAAGGTAATACAACAGGGAACATACGGTGGTATGTGAGAAGTGTATGGTGATGTATTACAGATATGAGGCGGTACGGTACGACTATAAGGTGATATGTAGCGAAAATAAGGTGAAAAGTGACGAGTATAAGGTGCGACGTATAATAGGTATGCATGAAGAGTGTATAGTCGTAAATTGCCAATATAAGAAACTATCTGTCGAGTATCAGGCGGAGGTCTGGGACTCTAAATATCTGGCGCTTGTGAGGCGAGCATAAAAAATTTGGAGGAACTTGAATGGAATATTAAACGACCCAATTTATACGCCTTCTCTGACCAATGACCATCAGCCGCGGTAAGTCAAGTTGGTTTGGCCTAGGTTCGAACGGTTATGGTTGGGCAAAGTAAGTAATTATCAAAAGAAGGCACCAAGCTCGGAAGGATGATTGGGCAAAACCTCTTCCAATTAGACGCTTGCCAAAAAGTGGGATATAAGATGAACATTTGAGAAGCAGGTGTGGAGCAGGTGTGAAGAAGGTGAGAGAGAAGACTGACGCGTTCAGACTAAGTTAGCAGGGATATCCTTCTTGCGAAGTATTAACGAGTTTTCAGTCTTAGCCAACTTGGGGTCTGAGTTGTGAATCTTTCCCGGCCTCATGACGAGTTGTGGTGGAGGCGACGGCAGTCAACTCTACCCCTCAAGGGGATGGCTCGCCACCACATTAAAGTTCCAAGCAGGAATTTGATAAGAAGTTTGAAAACCCGATCACTGGTTTGTCTATATCGATAGAAAAGGCGATGAGAATTTGTCTGCCATGCTCAAGCAGTACCTCTTAGTTGAGGACCACATACAGGCTACGGCTCCTCTTGGGAGACGACCACATACAGGCTACAACTCCACTTAGGAGACGACCACATACAGGCTACAGCTCCTCTTGGGAGACGACCACATACAGGCTACAGCTCCTCTTGGAAGACGACCACATACAGGCTACAGCTCCTCTTGGGAGACGACCACATACAGGCTACAGCTCCTCTTGGAAGACACCCACATACAGGCTACAGCCCTCTTGGTAGAGGACCGCCTGCAAATTCTCTTGAAAAAGAACATTCCTTCTCTCGGACACAGCTTCTGACTGCCTCTCTGTACTTCCCTTTTAATGGCTCGTTTCCCGCCCTTCTGGCCTTCGCGTCTCAGTTCCATTAGCCAGTGGTCTGGTACCACTGGAGATGGTCAGGTACCACTGGAGATGGTCTGGTACCACTGGAGATGGTCTGGTACCACTGGAGATGGTCTGGTACCACTGGAGATGGTCTGGTACCACCGGAGATGGTCTGGAACCACCGGAGATGGTCAGGTACCACTGGAGATGGTCTGGTACCACTGGAGATGGTCAGGTACCACTGGAGATGGTCTGGTACCACTGGAGATGGTCAGGTACCACTGGAGATGGTCTGGTACCACTGGAGATGGTCTGGTACCACTGGAGATGGTCTGGTACCACTGGAGATGGTCTGGTACCACCGGAGATGGTCTGGTACCACCGGAGATGGTCAGGTACTACTGGAGATGGTCTGGTACCACTGGAGATGGTCTGGTACCACTGGAGATGGTCTGGTACCACTGGAGATGGTCTGGTACCACCGGAGATGGTCTGGTACCACTGGAGATGGTCTGGTACCACCGGAGATGGTCTAGCACGACAAGAAATGATCATGTAGGCCTATAGATATAGGTCTACTGGTTTTCCCATATTAGGTTTCATCTAGCCAATATATTTATTTATTTATATACGTGAAGGTACATTGGGAGTTAAGAGAGCACATAGAAATGATGTTGATTTTACATTCTTGTAAAGCCACTAGTACGCATAGCGTTTCGGGCAATGTATATATGTATACACTCCCAAACCTAGCTGAGAGAACAGCACCCCGAAAAAAATTTTCCTACTCCCCAAATTCCCTTAAATTATTGAAACATAATTAGCGTACACTGACATGCATTGTTGTGGGTGACTTGTGTCGTCCTGGAGAACGAACGATGCTGTGGGGAGCCGTCGTGCACGTCCAGTGTATAGTGGAAGGAGGAGGAAGAGGAGGAGAATAAGACAAAGACACAGGAGGAAGTGATGAGAGAGAGCAAGGGGGGCGTTGGTGATTGTGGGTTACGTAAGATGACCTCCGTAAAGGGGGAGGAATGCGACAAGTGTCGTTATACGGGTATAACGCAGCATGGTGTGTGGGAGAATGTATACCGTGATCGTTGCAGAATATACAGCGCTATTATTAACGAAGGAACGATACAAGAGTCGAAAGAATATGAGCAATCGACCGCAGGTCTGAAATGAGGACCAAAGGCTCTGGCAGACAGGCCGACAAGCAGGCAGGCAAGCAGACAGCAGGCCGGCAAGCAAGCAGACAGCAGGCCGGCAAGCAGGCAGCCAAGCAGACAGCAGGCCGGCAAGCAGGCAAATCGGCAAGCAGGCAGGCAGCCAGCCGCCCACTCTGCCGTCGTTCTCCTTCCCTTAACGACTGTGATAATTCCGCCAGGGATCTCACACTCGCCCATCAACTGACAGATGGCGCTGATGGCATTACCTCTCCCGTCGTCCATTTATATTATGCCAGTTGCCCCTCTTGCTCTATATTTTCCTGCTCTCTGTCTGATGCGCTTTCCAACCCGTATATCTCAATTTTTTTGCATTTTTACCCACAACAACGCACACCTTTGTACAGAAGTGTTGTTTAAATATCTTTAAAAATATAAACACATTTATCACACACTCAATATGCCTCAGATTTTTTAAAATTATCTAAATTCGTCTCTAAAACATTTTGAAGCCATATCTCAAAAGTTTAGTCAGCATTTGAGGTTCATAGTTAATGGAGCTATATTGCGTGTAACTTGTTGATGAGTTAGCAAACCAAGAAGAGACACCGGCGCCTGGAACCAGAACCGAGGGGCTGAAGTTGTGATGCTGGATGGTAGTTAATTGCCTTGCTGGAGTCCGTCTTGCTTCCCATCAGTTGAACGCGAGTTATATCAGTGTAAAGAGGACTGTTTATCAGGCTGGTAAGTTACCAGTGTTGATGGTCTGGTAACTTACCACTGGTGATGGTCTGGTAGGCTACCACTGGTAATGACTTATCACTGCAGATGGCCAAGTAACTTAGAACCTCTATGGTGACGTCCTGATAAACTGCAAGTGATCCAGTCTAAGTTTACCTGGATGAGGGCCAAGCCACGAAGTATCGCCTCTGGAAAAATTCAAGTGCACATTACTCTCGGTGGAAATTTTTACAGCCGTGGCGAAATGGTTCCTGGAAGCCTCCTTATGAAGATGCTTTCGTCTCCTTGCGCTTTACTTGAACATGACTCATCATCAAGGCAGGAATAAAGGAAATTGCAGAGGAAATATAATTTCTGGGAGAAATTTAATTTCTAGAATAAATTTGATTTCAAGAAGAAATGTAATTTTTAGAAGAAATTAAATTTCAAGAAGAAATTTAATTTCTAGAAGAAATTTGTTTTTTATTGGTGAAATTTCGATAATTCTTGAAGAATTCTTTTTATTTCTAGGTGAAATTCTAGGATTTCCTTACCAGAAATTTTCTTGGCTTAATTTACCAGCCAATATGGCTGGTAAATTAAGCAAATTGAATATATCGTTTCTGTTGAGCTTGTAATACTCTTTATGTGTGTCACAAGTTTGAATCATGTTCAGAGATAGTGAAAACACCTATATGGAATTAGGTTTGTGTCAGTTATTGACACAATATAAATACTGACACGGTTATACATAAAGAAGGTTGAAGCCGAGTGAAGTAACACATCACAGGCGCCTGACGTTCGAGCCCATTGCATAACCTCTATATCTTCCCAAAGAAGATTGTTTGCCTTATTAATTTTGTGAAACACACACGGCGTCCTTTCTAATTATATTATAGTTTATATAAAACTAATTATATTACGATTTAAATATGTTTCTGGTTCTGCAGTTGATTTCTGAGGCTGCACCTACACACACACACACACACACACACACACACACACACACACACACACACACACACACACACACACACACACACACACACACACACACACACACACACACACACACACACACACACACACACACACACACACACACACACACACACACACACACACACACACACACACACACACACACACACACACACACACACACACACACACACACACACACACACACACACACACACACACACACACACACACACACACACACACACACACACACACACACACACACACACACACACACACACACACACACACACACACACACACACACACACACACACACACACACACACACACACACACACACACACACACACACACACACACACACACAACACACAACACACAGCCTACGTGTATCCCTATTGTTTTCCACCCTGAAGGTATCATCACCCAGCGTTTTAACAACTCATATAAGCTCATCATGTCAATATGAAGATTGCTTCTCGGCCGAGGTAATGGTCAATAACACGTTATTTGGCAGCATTTACCACCAGTTACATAGTCAGGACCTGGTAATTTGTCTCTGGTGTCAAAACGCAATGTAGTGATGACGTCGAGGTCATTGTGACAGGGTTTTGACAGGTCAGGTGACGTGTGGGTACAGTATACGTCAAAATAGCCACGTTCAGGAGGACGGGTTGGTTACCAAACACACTCGAAAAGCAAACTAGTGTAACCAGGAAGGCTGTAAAAAAAACTTCAAGAGGACATGCTTGAAATAAACAATAATTGAAAAGTAATGAAAATGAAAACACAGAAGAGGACAATGCATACGAATAATACTTGCCAGACTAAAATAATAAAAAAATGAAAGGGACGATATTTCAAGCCTAACATCAGTCACCAGAACTGGCGTCAGTCACCAAGCCTAGCATCAGGGTCACCAGGCCTAGCATCAGGGTCACCAGGCCTAGCATCAGAGTCACCAGGCCTAGCATCAGGGTCACCAAGCCTAGCATCAGGGTCACCAAGACTAGCATCAGGGTCACCAAACCTAGCATCAGGGTCACCAGGCCTAGCATCAGGGTCACCAAGCCTAGCATCAGGGTCACCAAGCCTAGCATCAGGGTCACCAAGCCTAGCATCAGGGTCACCAAGCCTAGCATCAGGGTCACCAAGCCTAGCATCAGGGTCACCAAGCCTAGCATCACAGTCACCAAGCCTAGCATTAGAGTCACCAAGCCTAGCATCAGGGTCACCAAGCCTAGCATCAGGGTCACCAAGCCTAGCATCACAGTCACCAAGCCTAGCATCAGAGTCACCAAGCCTAGCATCAGGGTCACCAAGCCTAGCATCAGGGTCACCAAGCCTAGCATCAGGGTCACCAAGCCTAGCATCAGGGTCACCAAGCCTAGCATCAGGGTCACCAAGCCTAGCATCAGGGTCACCAAGCCTAGCATCAGTGTCACCAAGCCTAGCATCAGGGTCACCAAGCCTAGCATCAGGGTCACCAAGCCTAGCATCAGGGTCACCAAGCCTAGCATCAGGGTCACCAAGCCTAGCATCAGGGTCACCAAGCCTTGCATCAGGGTCACCAGGCCTAGCATCACAATCACCAAGCCTAGCATCAGGGTCACCAGGCCTAGCATCAGGGTCACCAAGCCTAGCATCAGGGTCACCAAGCCTAGCATCAGGGTCACCAAGCCTAGCATCAGGGTCACCAGGCCTAGCATCACAATCACCAAGCCTAGCATCAGGGTCACCAGGCCTAGCATCAGGGTCACCAAGCCTAGCATTAGGGTCACCAAGCCTAGCATCAGGGTCACCAAGCCTAGCATCAGGGTCACCAGGCCTAGCATCACAATCACCAAGCCTAGCATCAGGGTCACCAGGCCTAGCATCAGGGTCACCAAGCCTAGCATCAGGGTCACCAAGCCTAGCATCAGGGTCACCAAGCCTAGCATCAGGGTCACCAGGCCTAGCATCACAATCACCAAGCCTAGCATCAGGGTCACCAGGCCTAGCATCAGGGTCACCAAGCCTAGCATCAGGGTCACCAAGCCTAGCATCAGGGTCACCAAGCCTAGCATCAGGGTCACCAGGCCTAGCATCAGGGTCACCAGGCCTAGCATCACAATCACCAAGCTTAGCATCAGGGTCACCAAGCCTAGCATCAGGGTCACCAGGCCTAGCATCACAATCACCAAGCTTAGCATCAGGGTCACCAGGCCTAGCATCACAATCACCAAGCCTAGCATCAGGGTCACCAAGCCTAGCATCAGGGTCACCAGGCCTAGCATCACAATCACCAAGCCTAGCATCAGGGTCACCAAGCCTAGCATCAGGGTTACCAGGCCTAGCATCACAATCACCAAGCTTAGCATCAGGGTCACCAAGCCTAGCATCAGGGTCACCAAGCCTAGCATCACAATCACTAAGCCTAGCATCAGGGTCACCAAGCCTAGCATCACAATCACCAAGCTTAGCATCAGGGTCACCAAGCCTAGCATCAGGGTCACCAAGCCTAGCATCACAATCACCATGCCTAGCATCAGGGTCACCAAGCCTAGCATCAGGGTCACCAAGCCTAGCATCAGGGTCACCAGGCCTAGCATCACAATCACCAAGCTTAGCATCAGGGTCACCAAGCCTAGCATCACAATCACCAAGCTTAGCATCAGGGTCACCAAGCCTAGCATCACAATCACCAAGCCTAGCATCAGGGTCACCAGGGCTAGCATCACAATCACCAAGCCTAGCATCAGGGTCACCAGGTGTGGGAACCGACCTGTGAGATTTATATTTATTTAATTTATATGAATTTATATTTACGTTAATTTATATACTTCGATAGCAATTTGTATAATGTTAAGTGGACTGTATTTCTGCAATAATCTCATAATCTCACAAATCGATCCTCTACACATTAGGGGGGGTTATTAAATTAATATATATGCAGCCAATCAAACTACAGAATTAACTACATACATTGAAGAGGTTCCTTATCTTATAGTACAGCAGGCTAGTCCACCAGGTATAACTAGGGTGTAGACACCAAATTATCCTCTTTGAGGTAGCTTCCATATCACCCAGTAACTGGTGCACAAATCTTGCATCCTCGTCTTGACCTGTCAAAAGTGCGCTAGCTGTGAAGCCAGATACCTATATATGACAAGTATATCAGAGAAAACAGTACATGGAACATGAAGACCTGGCTTAATTACCTTTAGTTTGAGGCTTCCATGTGATCTAACCGGGTCACCCTATATAATGACATTAATGGCCACTAATGATAAATAATGGGTTTCGGAAAGAACACTTAACTTGATTTGTTGACAGCGTGTTGACAGATGGTACACCTTTGGTATCCATAACACTACGTCCAAGTAAAATTAACAGGAGCCGAATTTGCTCCCGTGTGAGCCTCTGGTCTCGTATAAACAATGGCTGCCCCCTTCCTCCCCTGACGCCTGGCCTACTTTGTCCACATGTCAGAAAGTGATAGAAGGGTCACATTTACTCTACTTTAATATTGATAATTAAGTTAATTTATATAAGATGTTTTTATGATGGTAAAGTCCAAAGACTAATGTATTTAAGAATAATTCCCACCATAATAGGTGGTGAATTATAATAGTATGTGGTGATGATATCCCGTTTTCTTTAGATGGTAATTCCACTACAAGTTACGTTTTCTATGGGTAACTTGTTGGTAATACAGTTATTATCTGTATGATGATATTATTGTTAAATGGTGTCGGATTTTCCGACATAATTCCCCAGGGGGCTGCTCACGGGTCGAAGTCCTAAATTAGAACAGACGCACACCGATACTCCTCCTTCGAATTATTACATTAATTTGATGTTAGTAGTTGGTAATCACACATTTGTGTGTCTGTTCGTACAGGACGGATGTCCCGTACTAGAGTTGCAGGGGTTAGAAGTCTAATGCGATTTCATTTCCCTGTCAACTCTTGAAAGGCTAATATTCAAGCCTTATTACTTATTATTTAACCCAGAAGACTGAATGTGATCAAGTACTACAGTCAAGTATGATTCAGGGACTGCAGTGAGATCAGTGACATTAGATATAACTTGAAGTTTGTTCAGGTAACTGGTCACTGATATATAAACACTGAGGCCCATGGAATACATCTTGATTAAATAATAAATGTATCAAATCAGTCATCAGATTTATTGGGGTTTAATTTAGTTAATTGATTCAGAAGATTGAATAGCTCATCATTAAAGTAAAGTATGGTTCTGAGACTGCAGTGGGTTCAGTGACATTGGTCGCAGTGACTTGTAGCTGTTTTAGGCTACTGTTCACTGATTTGCCACTGAGGCCTCATGAACTCATCTCCAGCTTTAAATGATGATACTAACATCAACCTCTGTTGGTATAGTCAGCTGTAATCTCCTTAGTATAATGCTACTGGAGAAATATAATCAGCTGACAAATTTAGATTTCTACTGGTATTGTTTATCTGCAGGCATAGGTCTCCTCAGGCTTGATACTGGGCCTGAGAGTAATTTACCTCCTGCAGAGTTTAACATGGTTATACCCTGATATTTAGTAGGGCTACCAATGAATCGATGGCAATAGTCTGTCCCTACAAGGAGACCGAAGTCGTTGAGGTGATCAGACTTAATATTATCTGCCAATTTTATTCCTCTATTTCTCAGGAATTTGGCTGTTGCTCTCAGACCTTGAACTTGTAGGTCTACTGGTATTTTGTCCACCACAATGGCTTGTACTCGACAGACGTACCTGCCTAAACGTACTGATGGTTGTACCACCTGGTAGACTTGAGGTCCTGCATCTGTTACAAACCCTGAGATGTTGAATGACATCTGGGCTACAGGCCTTAATTGTAATTCATCTGCCAACTTTTTAGTGATATATGTTCTCTGGGATCCTTGGTCAAACAACCCTCGGGTATGGACCTTGGCCCTCTTATTCAGGATGGTAATTTGGGCAGTAGGCAAAGTTGTATTACCTTTAGACTTTGCCGATTGGACACTCTTTATTGGTTGCACCTTGCAGTACTGTACTGTGGTGGGAATGCTATCTTCCACCTTGGGGGTTGGAGACGTTGTTTTGGTGTCTCTGCACAATGCTGCATGGTGCTGACCTTTGTTACACCTATTACAGGTGTGTAATTGGGTATCACAGTCGTTGATGTTATGTTTCCTGAGGCACCTCGTGCAATGTTGCAAATCTTTGAGTCGCTCAACACGGGCGTCACTATCAGGAAAATTAGAGCAGTGGTACATTGAATGTTTCTCATTGCAGAACAAACATGTTCCATAGCTTCCTGTACCCTTTCGTGTCATGTTCTTGGGTGACACAGTAACTATAGGCTTGGAGGGTCCCACTGCATATACGCCCACACTGCCACTGTTCCACTTTGGTGTTGAATTATATTGTCTAGATTGATTTGGAGTACCTTTGGTACTCTGTGGTTTACTATTATTAGTTTCTGAGGGTTTACTTGGTGGTTTTAATTTGTCATGTGTTCGTAATTGATGAACTACTGACTTTAAACCTTCAGATATTTCATTCATGGCTAAGGTGCTTTTATTGTAATGAGCACTCATTTGTCTCAATATGTCCCTAGGTATTTTCTCCTGGACAATTATTTTCAAGACCCACTCAGCCCCGTTTGTATCTGCTGTCAGGCTGAGGGCATTGATCAATGATTCTACCTCCAGCTTGAAGACTTGGAGTGAATCAGCTGAAGCCTCCGGTGGGGGTAAATGCAACAGCTCATGAACTAAATGTGATGTTCTTACTTCTGGATCAGCATAATTATCCTTGAGGAGTTTTACTGCCAGATCATAGCCGTCATTAGTTAATCTCAGATGGGATACTACTGTTTTAGCCTCACCTGATAATTGGCCTTGCAAATAAGAGAATTTACTACTCTTTGGTAAAGATTGTTTTGAGTCTACAAGGTCAACGAATTTGTTCCAAAATTCATCCCAATCTTCCTCATCTTTTCCTGAGAAAGTGGGTAAATTAATTGGAGGGAGTCGAGCTTCCGCTTGACTCGTATTAGATGCAACTGTTGTTGTTGTTGCTGTTGCCTTGTTCTGGGCAATTAATTTGACATAAGGCTGTAACGTGGCCTGAGTGTGATCTTCATAATTCGCAAGATCAACCATAATGTCGTCTATTTCTGTTTCTGATAAATTAGTGTTGGCAAGTTCAGCCACATATGTTGCTATTTGACATTTGATTTGCTCAAATTTACCTGCAGCTGCTTGATAATAGCTTTCCAGGTCAGCATAATCAACTGTTGATTGTTGTGACAAATCTTCACATTTCTTGATCTGTCTTGTTAAGTGGCCTTTAAGACCTGCAAGGGTTCTTTTCATTCTCCCTGCATTATCCATACTGGCTCGTTGGTGAAGCCTTGTGGGGCTTGTACTTGGGCTGCTCATAATACTGAACAAGCTCTAATGGTAGCCTAGGGTAAATTCTGAACTCACTAGGCAATAATCCTACCTCTACTAGAGGTTAGCACTTAAAATTAATACACATTATATATATACAATCATCCACACTAATGATTTGAGTGATAAACCAGTGTCACTGGAAGTACCTTTAGGTTAGCTCTTCTATATCACCCTAGGATGGTAGAGACACTAATTAATCACTCAAAGGTGTAATGATCATAAGTAAATTATTATATATACAACTCAATTCGAGTTGATAAAAATTACACCCAAATTAGGGTCTGCACCATTCATTAATGGTGTTAGGTTGTTCAATATAGTACAACTGACTATGGTAATAATGGGACTAGGATGAGCAATAATAGTTCAACTAGTCATATCCCACCCTGTTGTGGGTTGACAATTAGTAAATATTATACTGTGATCACTAGTGCAATATATATTAAATAATTCTCTATTTTGGAGAAATAATATACACAATTATTGATAATAGCCTCTTAATTAGCTTCTATGAAACTTCTAATATTATCTAGAAGTATTAAATATTATTAGTGACCTCGCGAAATAAAGTCCACAAAATTCGTAGATAATCTCTCGCGAAATGTAACACCACGAAATCCGTGAACAATCTTGGGAGGACACAGCCACTAATTTGGCTGGCTTCTATTAGCGCTGTCATTTCACGAAATAACACACCACCAAATATCTGTGGGTGTGCATGAAACCGCTGACGAAGCTGAACTGGGCTGAGGGAGGCTCCTGAGCTCCCTCGAGGCTACGCTGCCGTCTTGACTGCTGGCTTTGTTTAAATAACACTGCACTAGTATATTTAATGAATCCACTGGTTAACTGGTTCATCCGGTACTAAGATGACCAAATGTGGGTTCAAAGGATCAAATAATCCGTCATCCGGTTCGAAGATGACCAAATAATGTGGGAACCGACCTGTGAGATTTATATTTATTTAATTTATATGAATTTATATTTACGTTAATTTATATACTTCGATAGCAATTTGTATAATGTTAAGTGGACTGTATTTCTGCAATAATCTCATAATCTCACAAATCGATCCTCTACACATTAGGGGGGGTTATTAAATTAATATATATGCAGCCAATCAAACTACAGAATTAACTACATACATTGAAGAGGTTCCTTATCTTATAGTACAGCAGGCTAGTCCACCAGGTATAACTAGGGTGTAGACACCAAATTATCCTCTTTGAGGTAGCTTCCATATCACCCAGTAACTGGTGCACAAATCTTGCATCCTCGTCTTGACCTGTCAAAAGTGCGCTAGCTGTGAAGCCAGATACCTATATATGACAAGTATATCAGAGAAAACAGTACATGGAACATGAAGACCTGGCTTAATTACCTTTAGTTTGAGGCTTCCATGTGATCTAACCGGGTCACCCTATATAATGACATTAATGGCCACTAATGATAAATAATGGGTTTCGGAAAGAACACTTAACTTGATTTGTTGACAGCGTGTTGACAGATGGTACACCTTTGGTATCCATAACACTACGTCCAAGTAAAATTAACAGGAGCCGAATTTGCTCCCGTGTGAGCCTCTGGTCTGGTATAAACAATGGCTGCCCCCTTCCTCCCCTGACGCCTGGCCTACTTTGTCCACATGTCAGAAAGTGATAGAAGGGTCACATTTACTCTACTTTAATATTGATAATTAAGTTAATTTATATAAGATGTTTTTATGATGGTAAAGTCCAAAGACTAATGTATTTAAGAATAATTCCCACCATAATAGGTGGTGAATTATAATAGTATGTGGTGATGATATCCCGTTTTCTTTAGATGGTAATTCCACTACAAGTTACGTTTTCTATGGGTAACTTGTTGGTAATACAGTTATTATCTGTATGATGATATTATTGTTAAATGGTGTCGGATTTTCCGACACCAGGACTAGCATCACAATCACCAAGCTTAGCATCAGGGTCACCAAGCCTAGCATCACAATCACCAAGCTTAGCATCAGGGTCACCAAGCCTAGCATCACAATCACCAAGCTTAGCATCAGGGTCACCAAGCCTAGCATCACAATTACCAAGCCTAGCATCAGGGTCACCAGGCCTAGCATCACAATCACCAAGCTTAGCATCAGGGTCACCAAGCCTAGCATCACAATCACCAAGCTTAGCATCAGGGTCACCAGGCCTAGCATCAGGGTCACCAAGCCTAGCATCAGGGTCACCAAGCCTAGCATCAGGGTCACCAAGCTTAGCATCAGGGTCACCAAGCCTAGCATCACAATCACCAAGCTTAACATCAGGGTCACCAGGCCTAGCATCACAATCACCAAGCTTAGCATCAGGGTCACCAGGACTAGCATCACAATCACCAAGCTTAGCATCAGGGTCACCAGGCCTAGCATCACAATCACCAAGCTTAGCATCAGGGTCACCAGGCCTAGCATCACAATCACCAAGCCTAGCATCAGGGTCACCAGGCCTAGCATCACAATCACCAAGCCTAGCATCAGGGTCACCAAGCCTAGCATCAGGGTCACCAAGCCTAGCATCAGGGTCACCAGGCCTAGCATCACAATCACCAAGCCTAGCATCAGGGTCACCAGGCCTAGCATCACAATCACCAAGCTTAGCATCAGGGTCACCAGGCCTAGCATCACAATCACCAAGCCTAGCATCAGGGTCACCAGGCCTAGCATCACAATCACCAAGCCTAGCATCAGGGTCACCAGGCCTAGCATCACAATCACCAAGCCTAGCATCAGGGTCACCAAGCCTAGCATCAGGGTCACCAAGCCTAGCATCAGGGTCACCAGGCCTAGCATCACAATCACCAAGCCTAGCATCAGGGTCACCAGGCCTAGCATCACAATCACCAAGCTTAGCATCAGGGTCACCAAGCCTAGCATCACAATCACCAAGCCTAGCATCACAATCACCAAGCCTAGCATCACAATCACCAAGCCTAGCATCAGGGTCACCAGGACTAGCATCACAATCACCAAGCTTAGCATCAGGGTCACCAAGCCTAGCATCACAATCACCAAGCTTAGCATCAGGGTCACCAAGCCTAGCATCACAATCACCAAGCCTAGCATCAGGGTCACCAGGACTAGCATCACAATCACCAAGCCTAGCATCAGGGTCACCAGGCCTAGCATCACAATCACCAAGCTTAGCATCAGGGTCACCAGGACTAGCTACGGGCCACCTACTCAGCATCACGACTGAAAAATAAAACCCCAACCCACACGTGACTGGGTATCAGTTTCCTCCCTATTCTTATGCTCTCATGTTACCTTCGGTATTTATGTTTAATTTCTTACCTTCTGTCCTTTCATCTCACTTACCCTCTTGCATCATACTGATAACCTCTCCCTCTCTTCCTTGACACGACTTCCCCTCACCTGTCCCTCATTTACCCTCACCTGTCCCTCATTTACCCTCACCTGTCCCTCATTTACCCTCACCTGTCCCTCATTTACCCTCACCTGTCCCTCATTTATCCTCACCTGTCCCTCATTTACCCTCACCTGTCCCTCATTTACCCTCACCTGTCCCTCATTTACCCTCACCTGTCCCTCATTTATCCTCACCTGTCCCTCATTTACCCTCACCTGTCCCTCATTTACCCTCACCTGTCCTTCATTTACCCTCACCTGTCCAGGATAGGTGCAATATCATCACTGTCCTTTTCTCTAGACGGTGTTTGAGTGTTAATACACAAAGTTAATGGTCTGTAAGAAACTAGTGAACATAAGCCTTTAGAAACGTGAACAAGGAGGCTCACAGAACTTCACCCACCTGACGCCACTGCCAGAGTAAGCAGTCCCAGCATGGAACTCGCACCTGAAAAACACAAAACAAAAGTAGTAGAGAAAGTGCAGAGGCATACTACAAGGCTTATCGCAGGGCAGAAAGGTTGGCATGTAGGGAAACGCTACCGGAGCTCGACATGATAAAACTAGTAATTTGAAGGAAGTGGGAGAGACATGATCGAGACATACGAGGTATAGAGCCAGGGGACGCAATAGCCTCTATTGTTTTCAAACCAGTATTGCCGTGATCACTTTAACCATTATTTAATGTTTCGCAGGATTCAGATCAATCCCATGACTTGTGTTCCCGTGTGTAAAACCCTGGTTTGTGTCTCGGAGAGACTGCAGGAACCATTGGTAAATCAGGATGATTTCCCGGTTGCAATTCTTTTACCATGTCGTAGCTCAGTCGATTAAGACAGCGTCTGGGATTCTCTTGGACGTAGGTTCGAATCCTCATCACGGTCCTCGTGGATTTGTTCATTTGATGCATCACGCTATTGTGATTTCTGTGTGTAACAGAATCTTGGGATTGGGATCCCAAGATACCTCGCCTTTTGTACAGAATCTACCCAACCGTTAAAAAAAAGACTTATTACTAAAAGTTAAAGTAGCGTATTATTTACGTTTTCTATGCATCGCCATCGATAGGTTAGGTGGGTTGTATAAGACCAGGGAGCGTTATATATCCAGTATAATACCCTCAAGTACTTCAGGATATGTGGAGGAGAAGAAATCGCATTGCAATCCTGCAATACGTCAACCAGATGCCATGCAATATCTGACATGACATTTCTCAACATAGTGAAAGGTCACCTGCTGTGAATGCATTACCTGAAGCTAATTTCCCGCTGTATTACTTCATTCTAGAAATCATATATAATTATGTAAATGCATTGGATTCTAACATGATTATTCAAATGCATAGGAATCATACATAATTCTTTAAAAACATACGTATCATATATATACTTCTTAAAATTATCGACATATTTTGTCAAAACTGATTATCGTCATTAGACCTCAAAATCCACTTAAATTCATAAAAACATGTTTTATTTTGGGCACTTACTTAAATCTGACCAAGCTTTTTAAAACAGCGTTTAAATCACCAGAAATTTGAATCAGTGATTGTCCTGAGTCGAAGAAATCCTATAAATTCAGAATGCCTAAACTTTCCCATGTAAAAGACTACGAATTTTCTGAAGGCTTCAAATTGTGTCGAGAAAAAGGCTGATAATTCTCTCTAAAATTAAATGTCTTATGATAAACGTTAGGTATAGTCTTGGAGAAGATTAGAATTATCCATGAATAAGAATATAAATTCCTTCAAGAATACTCATAAGTCTCTTAAATGATATTAGAAATCTCCTAAAAGAAGGTTAATGAAGGTTAACAGGCTTAAAGACTATTATGAATCCTCGAGAATAGACAAGAAAACCTGCATTCTTCGAGAGAATCCTCTTGAAGAACACAGAGAACCCGACTTAGAAAAGACGGATTCAAAGAAACCTCACAAATTATCATCAAAACAAGCTTAGAATTCAATTCAAGATACCTGTAAATCCTCTTCGAGAAACTTATAAATCTAGAAGATAATTAATCCTTCTAAAAACCCCATTGAAGTCCTCTTGAGTCCCGGAAACCCATGCGAGGAGACCTCTTGGACTCGTGGTAAGACACTGAGAGAGACGTTGTTGTCGTCATAAAGACTGGGGAACCCATAACGATACTCTTGGCCGTGGACCAAGAAGCTCTCGCCAGAACACGCTGCTCCAAGGGACGTGATCACACCTCTATTGTGTAGACCAGCTGCTGGAGTGAGGCAGTAAGCGGCCAGTGAAGGGGGTTAATGTGATAAGGGAGAGGATAAGGTGATGTACGGAGGGGTGGAAGGGGGCGTTAGTGGTGGAAGGGGAGAGTGAGAGGTGTCGAAGGAGTGAGAGAGGGTGGAGGGATAAGGGAATAAGCGGGTAAGACTGATGGAATGGGTGAAAATTAAATGGGAAAAAAAGGAGAGGCAAGGGGATCAGGCAGGTGAAGGGGTCAGAGATGGTGGTAGATGAGATGGAGCATCAGTGTGCACTGATGAGGGACGAGGGAAGGTGATGTGAGGGGTGAGGGAACTTACATGTACACATAAACATAGTCTCTAACATAAAAATGTTTTTCAGAACTCTGTTTTGTGGGTCTTGGAGAAAACGTTTCTGTCAGCTCCAACGAACTCAATATATAGGCAAGACAACAACATCACCCCTTTCAAGGCGCCTAACAATACACAAACAGCAAGGACCATATATTGTGTACACATAACCAGACCATCACCAGAGATACCTTCACAAACAACACTAAAATAATCGACAGATACAATAACAACAGGAGACTGGACATCTGGGAGTCATTATACACCAAACAACCCAAGCCATCTATCAACAGCCAACTGGCACCCAATTACACTCTGCCATCTTCGTGAACACGACGAAACATACAATAAACTGCCCCAGTCATCATGGAAGGAATTGAACTGAACTATCAGGGGGAAAGTGCCAAGCCATTACGACTATATAGCACTGGGAAGGGTTCAGGATAAGGATTTGGGATGGGACGGGGGGGGGGGGGAGGGGGGATGGGATGGTGCCCAACCACTTGGACGGTCGGGGATTGAACACCGACCTGCATGACGCGAGACCGTCGCTCTACCGTCCAGCCCAAGTGGTTGGTCATCATCATCTGGTAAGATGTAATGGGACTATTGACCCATAAGTGAGGTGCTTCACCTTCACCTTATCCCCGGCTATATCCCGCAGCACAAAAACTTTCACCCATTACGGGCTATTCATGCCCGTGCCACCACTTGGGTGGCTTAATCTTTATCAATCAATCTTGCACCCATTCGATCTCTGTGTGTGTCACGGCCCGGCTTCTGTGTCAGGTAAATCCACTACGGGCTTACCATAGCCCGTGCTACTTGGAACGTTTTTGTTCCCAGTAGCTCAATCTATAACAAAAACAACCTCGAACTCTGTTACGGGCTCACCATAGCCCGTGCTACTTGTAACTTTTTATTTTGAGTAGCTAAATCTTTAACAACAACAACAATCGAATTCTGTCTTTGACAATGTTGTCAGGTGTCAGCAAAACGCTTCTCTTAGCGTCAGGCCATAATAAAAATATTGTAACATAAACTTTGGGGAGCAATTTTTCAAATTCTTTGGTGCTAGAATCATTGATCTGACCCTTTTTGTCCTAGTCAATAATATATGTCAAAAAGAAAGACTGCTTCCAATATTATATAAATATATATATATACATGTTTCATTAAAAATGACAGCATATTCTGTATTGATTATTTTCTTGTTTAGGGGCTTCTGTCCCTCTGACTCGTGCTCTTGCATCTTGGTTTAATTGGAAGATTTCTCCAAATATGATCTTTGTTCGAGGTGAAGAAAAATAAATTATTAACTGTAGAATATATTACACTTATTATAAATTTACACATCGTTTCGAACCTACGTGGTTCATTTTCAAGTGAAGGGCCAGTGACTGATTTATGAAGAGTAAGCCATCCAAGAGGTGGCACGGGCTTGAATAGCCCATAAAGTGGAAAGTGCTGGACGTATTGGATTTATACCATTAGGGAAGTCAGGTGCATAAAACAAAAAGGTGAGGAGTACATTGTAAATGAAGAATAGGGCATAAATGGGAATGAATAGGGGACGTAAATACGGACGAAGCTTCCCTATAGTTTCTCGATTTATTTAATTCCATTACATCCCTTTATTCTCATTAATCAATAAGAAAAAGATATTCCAACCTCCTGAAGCTCTTCATTCTCGGGAATGGATCAAGGGAAACTTTGAATTCCAAGTAAAACTTAAACGAGTTCGATTCCCTCTTGACTTAGTTCCCTATCAGCTGTGTGACCTCCTCTCCAATCATCCCCTACCCCCACTGACCCCCTTCCTCTCCACTCCCCCACCTGGGAATTCCTAATGACAAGAGCCACCTCCCGGAGGGCCCGGTTCCTGTTCACCTATTTCAGTATTCACCTGCTTCCGACTCGCCTGTTGAAATATTAGCGTGTTGTAGTGTTCACTTGAACTATTATTTAACTGTACATGACTTAACCAGTTCAAATAGTGTCATATTCAGGTGTACAGGCAGGTGTGTAAGTGTTCGTCTAACAGTATGTTTTAATGGAATTAAATAAATTTTACCCTGTCGTAGCTCAGTCGATTAAGGCAGTGTCTGGGATGCTCCCGGACGCAGGTTCAAATCCTCGTCACGGCCCTCGTGGATATGTTCAGTATGTTCACCTGTACACGTGTTTAGCAGCTCTCTGTTTACATTTTCCTTTAGACTATCTGGTTAAATATTTCTCAGTCTAACAAGCCCATCTGTTCAAACATTCGCCAACGATCGTGTTCACCTAATTATAGAATCAGATATTCGTCTATTCAAATCTTAATCCACATATACACTAGTAAAATTTTAACCTTTTGATTATTAATTCAATAAACATTAATAAATTCACCTGTTTCACATTATGTTCTAATTCACAAATTCCTTCTTTCCTTTCTGAAGACGTATATCATAATTGGACAATCCGGCCTCCTGAATTTATGGTGTATGTTGTAACTGTGTGATCGATCGAACCAATATGGTCGATTGAACCAATGTAGTCGATCGACCCAATGTGGTCGATCGAATTAATATGTCGTAATTGAACCCAATTAACCCACTTGTTGTAATTTTTCTTTAACAGTGTCCGGGAAAAAATAAAGCTAAAAAAACTAACTTAAATATTCCTAGGCCTATTATAGCACACATATATGTACTGTATTAGGCCTCAGGTAGCGTGCATTAGGCCTAGGATAGTTAGAGTAGGTTAGCTTTAATTAGCCGCACAAATATGAAAAGCTTTTCCGGTTTGTTCAAATTCAATAACACAAAAAGTCTTCTTTCTGTTGGTCAATCATGGCATCTTTGTACTTTCAGACCACATAGCTACAATACGTACTTTCAGAGCAC